TTATTGTATGTATATAGATATATATTTTTCACCGTCGTACAACGGTACCGTAAACTCCGGCCAAGTGACCTGCCGTGGGCCTTGGAAGACTAAAAAGAACCCTATGGTAGCTACCACACCACATACGTCTGTAACGGTTTTCGACCGTCTGTTGATTGTGCCCTGGTGTATTAGATAGGGAACCCTACCACTAATTTACCAGGGCAAAACCTACATATACATAACGGTCGAAAATGCTACAGACGTAACGTAACGCCCACGAGACCCGCCCACGAAACCTCCTAACGAACGGTCTCGATGAAGCTGCGAGAAACTACCAGGAACGCCCAAACGTGTTTGTTAATTTGCAAGCCTTCGGGATAAACGGACGTTCGCCACAGGCCCTGCAGAGGTTTGGCAGTGCAGTGCAGTGCAGTGCAGTGCACAGGTTCCCCGGGACTACAATGTCACTGCTAAAAATATTGCATCCGCCCAATTATGGATTAACCCATTTGACCCTGTTGGCAGCCAGCTGCCTCACTGTCGGGCCAGAGGATATACATACGCCCCTTCCAGCACTGGCAGGTCAAGCCATCTCCGATCTCTGAAGATCGACTAAAGTGCGGACATACAGAGAACGCACAACTACTGCTATCGGCAAACTAGCAAGAATTGTGTAAACTATATATGTATATATATACATATATACATATATACATATATATATATACATATATATACATATATATATATATGTATATATATATATACATATATATATATACATATATATATACATATATATATGTATATACATATATATATATACATATATATATATATATACATATATATATACATATATATGTATATATATATGTATATATATATATATATGTATATATATATATATATACATATGCGATTCGCGGTTTAAGGTCCTGGGTTCGATTCCTGGGGAGACCCCCGAATTAGTCGGGAGCGCGAGATTATGGCTAGCTGCTGAGATGTGGAGTTGAGGTCACAGTTGATGGACCAGATTCGCACGCTGGATTGGTGGCGATTGCCGAACCCTCCGTCTCTTCGGGTGTTCGGGTGAATGGATGAGGAGGGGTCCCTGAAGGCTGGATCCGCCGCCTTGGACTTACAGTTCGTATGGCGAAGACAGTGTGGTAGTGGTGGATGGTGCTATAAGGTGATAAATGATCGTAGAACTGACAATGTGATAAAGCGGCCCAGAAGCCTCCCACTCTGTAACACATTACATTACATACACACATACACACATACACACATACACACACGCGCACCCCAAAATAAATTAACAAATGGCTGGCTGGCAAGCAAAGTCGCACCAATGACTAGCTAGCTGGCATAGAAAATAAAGCCCGCGTTGATTCATGCTCTTGCTCGCGAGCAAGATCCACGATCGTGGTGTCTTAACTTCCGTTACGTGGGCATCCAAGCCAGGAGTTGTATATGCTTTGCAAAATAAACAACAAGCTAGCACCGGCATCACGGAATACAGGCCTGGGACGGACATCAGTACGCTTAAGTCCCACGCACATCATGTTGTTTATTACCTTTATTCTCCACGAGGGTCAGTTTCGGGCAGCCTTCAAGGGCGCGCGTTATGACTGCCGCCCCCCCCGCTTCTGACTGAGAGATTAGCAGACAGCGTCCATTGGAGAGGCCAATAATGTGCTCCTGCTCTACGACCCCTACTCCGGCGGGGAGCGTGAAGACTTCCTCGTTGCCCACTTCATCGACAAACACCTGCCGTGCATACGAGCGTGACACTAATTGAAGATGCCATCTCGGTAAGAACCCGTTGCATCGGTTAGTTGCCTGTTACCCTTTCCTACCTGGCCATGGAGTACACCCCGCCGTGTATGCATACGCCGGTAAAATTACTTACGGTCTATACACGGGTCTATCTATGCACGGGGTCTATCTATACACGGGTCTATACACGGGGTCATCGTATAACAGATAGGACCGAGAAATAGATTGTCTATAGGCTTATGGCATAGAATGGCCTATAGATCGTACCATGGTATGGATGGATTGGCCCGAAAATAGATACATGGTCTCAGTATAGACACTTCCCCATTTTACAGACGTACCATGCCAGCTATGCATCCATGAACAGTCCAGCGCATACAAATACCCTTGGACATACAGCCTTGCAGATATCATTTTAAGTGCTTATCTGGGCTTTCCTAAATGTACGACCAACATCTGAAATCACGCACAGCGTACATAGGTCACGCAGTGCACGGTTATTCAGCGGTACGGCAGCCTGTACACATTATTCTGTTACACGGTTCAGTTGCACACCACGTAATCACGTACTGATCAGTACGGAAGTACAGACATTTCTACCTGAAGTCGATGGGGTCTTTTATACGAGGGATTGTCGTACGTCCTGAGGTTGCCTTTGAAGTGCCCCACAACCACCAGCGACCAAAGCTGACGTTGACGTGAGACCCTAATGTCTGGTACCTGTCTGGTACCAAACTTAGAGACGTTCACTTTGAGCGTCACTTGAGCCCCAGGTTCGAGTGTTTCCAGCTCAAAACGCTCTACGTTGTTTGTGTGGTCTGCAGCCAAATAAAATGACGAGGCGACCGACATACATCACGCAGGACAGGCAATTAATTGTGTATGCAACGAATCCAAGCTATATATGTATCGTACATACATGGCCTTGCACTCATGCATAGGGGCAGCAGGCAATAGGAGGACCACACATATACACATGGATGGCCCTGGAGAGTTCGTTCCTTCGACCTACCGAATGGGCCTCCAGGCCGCCAGTCCATTGTCCTTACCTTCTCGTTCATTTCTCATGTCGCCATTGTTTACGTTGAAGTATAAGTCGAGGTCATTGACCAGAATGTTTGGGTATGTGCTGCCCGCATCTATTCCCGCATCCATGATGTTGGAGGGATAGTCATGCCATACAAGTGCCGCACGAATGGGCCTGCGGTGGCCCCCAGCACAGCAAATACATACATACATACATACATATGCAAGGTTTTAGATGTGTAATGATGTATGTATGTATGTATGCGTAAGTTATGTGAGACTGCTGGCTGGGCAGCAATGCGTGTATTGATGAGACCTAATAATAATACGACAAATTAGGTCTATAACGCTCATATGTTGGTCTCTGCTCTGCGTGCCTGGAAATATAAAAGACGGCTGGGGTAGCGCGCCGTTATTGCAATTGCCTGGGAGAGGGAGGGCGTTCCGGTCCGCGCCTAGTCTCTAGGGACCCTAAATGATGAACCGAGACCCAGTTGGTCCAAGTTGGGGCTGCACACACGCACTCTTCGTTCCACGACCCTTCCTACCCCTCCCGAGTTGCGTTGTTGCGGCATTATTAGGGCGGTCAGTTCTCCGGTTGTTGTTGTTGTTGTATCACCACCGCAGTTTGTGTGGCAGTGGGAACTACCCATCATCAATGATGAAATGGAGAGGCTAAATGATCATCCGGTAGGTTATGCCTTAAACAACGGCCGACGTGCACGTGCCCATTTTTATATGTATGTATATAGATATATATTTTTCACCGTCGTACAACGGTACCGTAAACTCCGGCCAAGTGACCTGCCGTGGGCCTTGGAAGACTAAAAAGAACCCTATGGTAGCTACCACACCACATACGTCTGTAACGGTTTTCGACCGTCTGTTGATTGTGCCCTGGTGTATTAGATAGGGAACCCTACCACTAATTTACCAGGGCAAAACCTACATATACATAACGGTCGAAAATGCTACAGACGTAACGTAACGCCCACGAGACCCGCCCACGAAACCTCCTAACGAACGGTCTCGATGAAGCTGCGAGAAACTACCAGGAACGCCCAAACGTGTTTGTTAATTTGCAAGCCTTCGGGATAAACGGACGTTCGCCACAGGCCCTGCAGAGGTTTGGCAGTGCAGTGCAGTGCAGTGCAGTGCACAGGTTCCCCGGGACTACAATGTCACTGCTAAAAATATTGCATCCGCCCAATTATGGATTAACCCATTTGACCCTGTTGGCAGCCAGCTGCCTCACTGTCGGGCCAGAGGATATACATACGCCCCTTCCAGCACTGGCAGGTCAAGCCATCTCCGATCTCTGAAGATCGACTAAAGTGCGGACATACAGAGAACGCACAACTACTGCTATCGGCAAACTAGCAAGAAT